AGATCCTAATGTGGAGAATTTTGAGAGGCAGTAAAGCGATTTTCAATGTTCAATGTTTATTTTTGTTCTCTAATCCCGAAATATAAAAGGCAACCTACGTATGTGAATGGAGGTGGTGCAGCAAAACCTTTGACGCAACCATGCAGCTTTTATGACTCTGACTCGAGTGGGTCGCCTATCACCGTAACACTCCCTCATTATCTATGTGGAAATGAAAGAAAAGTATTAGAGCAGGGGGTGACAGTAGCGTTGCATGAATCTGCTAGGAATCTGCTTCACAAAGTGGCTTCAGATATTGAAGGCAAGTACCGGATAGGTGATTATAGGCCGATTCGATTCAGCTAGGAAGGGGAGTTTGCTCCCTGTGGAGATTCTAAATACAACTATCGGATAAATGACGTTCAGTCCAGGAAATCGATCCACAGTAGTATATTAATGTTCGGCCTAAAGTTGTGTCACTGATGCCAAGGAAAGTGACTATTCTCAGCGCTTTGACACTGCGATCAAAAAGAGAAGAATGATCCCTGCAATAACTCACCTTCACGGGTACCCTATGGGTGATGATTGTTTTGGGTGGAATAGACTGGAATCTAGCATAATGGTAGAAAAGTATACAGAAAGGGAGCAGTAAGCAGTGAAATATATCCCAATTTCTGAGCTTTTTTCATAATATAAGATTCCTCCTGATTTTCTGGGAGCCACAGCGAAACAGGTATGTTCTTTTCCATATATATGATGTCTATTTTGTATATGTTTCAGCCGTTAAATCAACAGGAGAGTGGTCAGCGAGCTGTGCCAACAGCACGGCCCCTCCGACACTTGTCTGTTCCACGAACAAAACGTCATCAACTTGTAGCTGCACAGCCGATCTATGCAATCAGTTCTACAAGGCCAACGAGACTCTGCACAAGCTTTGGGGTTCCAATTCGACTTTGTGAGTTCTACTCGGTCTTCTGGGAACCATTATATGAAAGGTACCTCATTTCAGCAGTAAAATCTCGCTATATCTCCCAAGCCTTCCTATTTATTGCCTCGAATGTGGAAATGTAAGTGTCGCTGGGATATCCCTGAGAGTACCATGTGTGGAAAAGCATCTTTGCAGAGGGAGCCATTGTATAACAAGTTGGTTTACTGTTTACAATTCATAGTATAAGAACAAATCGAAGAAATTTGGTCACTACTTAGTGATGGTCAAGCCTTCCATGGAATAGCCTTTTTCAGAATTTCCATAATTTTTTTTCTACTTTTCCTAAAAGCATAGCTGTCGTTGAGGTTGTGAATGAATTGATAATGTTATTTCAGAGAGAGGCAGCAATCCACACTCGTACTGTGGCTCTCCCTGGGAAGGTGACAGTGAGGTTTGTTCCTTCTTCTTCCCAAGCTTCCTGCTCGATTAAAATCAAAAGTTGAAACCCCATAGCTTGACATTAGTCATATATATGATTCATATCGTGGCGAAAAAAGGCAGTCACATATACAGGGTGTGTCACAGTTATGGAAACGAAATGAACGGGTGTGGTGCAGTAAGGTCGAAATTGTCGCGCCGCGGCGAGAGGGACGCCGCGCGCGAAGGAATGTAGCGGAATGCAGCAGCAGGTGAGAAATAAAGGAACGGAGGAACTAGCAGTAGAATCATGCCAAAAACAATGATAACATATTGAGCCGTATGAAGAACTCTAGCGCTGTAATAACCGTGAAGCAAATGGTCCGCGACAGCCGCGTGCGGCGAATCGATAACTCAGAACCAATCCTACTGCCGTTCTCACAAAATGAACAACTGAATGCCTCAAAAAAATTGGTCCGCTCCCTGAACAGAGGACAGTTTGAATTGTCTTCAGAAAAAGAGTTCTGAGTCCTCAGGAAAAAGTGAATGAGAGCTACCACACTGCTTCGAAAGGATCTTCACCCAGTTTGACAGAAGGTCGAGGAACGTTGAGAAATGAGTCAACGGTGATAAGAGGTAGCTGGCATCCAAACTCTCAGAAGTTTTCTGCAAAACTACCTTCAAGCGGCCGGAGTGGGACGAAGCTTCGTGCAAACCATGAACCCAAGGTTGCCCTGTACGGGGAAATCAAGCGGTGTAAGGTTCATCGAACTGGGAGTTCTAGTCCAGGGCAACAAATCCGGATACTCCTGTTGACCCATTGGCGACCGCGCCCTTTATACTATCCTTACATTCACTTTTAATTTCTTCTACAGCTGTAGTTGGAAATGAATGATTCCTTCACCACAATGCCTCAAGATTCTCTAGAAGGCTGTGAGCTCAGCTGATATTTGAAAACATGTAAAAATCATAAGAACACTTGATAAATAATATAAATCCTACAGTAGCATGATATGGTGTGGCCCGCCGGCGGGGTTATTTATCAATGGGTTAAGTTTAGGCCTTTTGAGGTCTCTTTGTCTTTGTATGCCCTCATCCGAGTAATTTTTCAAAATGTTACTCATAAATCTCATAGAAATGGACAATCCTCTGCAGCTTTCTGCAGTTATGTTGCCGGAATAAGTCGAAAATTTTTGCCAGCTTCGTCAATTTTGCGATGGTATTTGGAACACAAACTCATGACACATTCAAACGAGGAGAGATGTTAATCTTATGGAATCTTTAAAGGCGCTAGACGCTAAAATTACTGTAGAATAATTACTGCAGCTAGCTGGATAGTTTTCAGTCACATGGTAGGTATTATGTGAGCCCAGCCTTGAACTCACTTTGCTATTTGCCCTTACGTATTTGACAATGATCAAATGGCCAAACAGCAAACAGTACATGGCCTGTCTACAGGGTGCATACATAATTGATCCATCTCGATTAGGTGAAGTTTTTCCGATTTTACAGGACTGCTTTTTCAGAATTTGAACTGGATCTTTCACGGATTTGGTCTCTGTTTGCAAACATAGACAGATTACTGTTTACAGAAATATTTCGATCTTCTGAAATTCCAAGTCGGAACCCATCGGATAATGGAGATTTCAAGTGATTGGCTTGTATGCTGTGGGGAGAGACACACCATGAGCGCTCTTTTGAATCGCTGTACAATTTTTGTCACTCTTTAAAAAATTTAAGACAAAAAATGATGACTTAAGGGATTACAAAATTTAGATTTTACTTTTCCTTTGTCTCACAAAATAATTCCATTCCTTCATCTCCTACTTATCGAACAATCGAAGGTGAAAATGTACAAACTTTTTCGCTGTCCAAGTTATAATCCTACCCTATGAATACGGACAGGGTCGATTCACTACATACCATTGTTTATCATTGTTTATTACTCAGAAAAAGGCATAAATCAAGGGGTAACAGCCGTCGCGGTCTGTCCCTCCTTCCGAGTTCGTTCGCAAATTTTTTTATCACCCGAATTTGAATATTCTATAACCGGCAAGGGGGCATCCAAAATTACTTTCTGAATGGATGCTTTCTGTATTTTCTAGATCCAAATTGAGCGCTTGGTTGAACTAGAACTGATCAGATTAGCAGAAATACTCGTCTAGTCCAGCTATTTTAAAATCTTGAAAGAAAATTGTCTCATTAGTTCGGACCCTCGAAATTCAACAATATCCTTACCAATCAAAAATAGAATTTTCTCTTACCCCAGTTCATTTCATTCAGGCTCGATGTTTCAAAAGTCCTGATCAGGAAGAGCAATGTGTCTGCTCACAACCAATGTGCAATGCTGTCCTAACACCCAATTCGGCTGGTAAGCTTCGAACGCCTATGGGAACCTTTGAAAGGAAGTCGTTTCAGTATTGCCGTCACCGCCCAGCAACAACGACACGCAATCGTCAAACACCACACTGTCAGGGGCCGATACAAATGGCAGTAAGCGATTTACGGGGGACGTTTGTGTGGGAGCTCGCCAATAAATCACCTTATTCCAGCTTCTTCAAAGTCTAGGAAATGCAAGAACAGCATGAAATTCTCCCCGAATGCTCAAGCAGTGTTCATGGGTGAGAAATTGGGACAGGCAATTCGTGACGGTATTGGTACGGACAGCAAAGCTGCACAGGTGAGCCTCCCCGTTCGTTGCCTTATTAGAAGCGTTGAGTCAGCTGCATGTGAATCATATCGTCCCATTTAGGAGTTCGCCGACGGTGTCGATACACACATTTGTGATTGAATGGGAATTGTCTTCCCCAGAAGTACCTCGGCCGCAGATCATCATTCCTACCTATAATAAATGCTTCCATGTTGTTTTTTTTTCATGAATAGGTTGT